TCTCGACAATCGCTGAAGTTGCCGTCTCGACCATCGCTAGAACTGCCGCATCGGCCATCGCTGCCTCGTCGAGGTCGTCGCCCTCTGACTCCATCGCGACGTCGGCCACGTCATCTTCCCTTAACTGAAATGGAGTTCCGCGATCATCGCCAGGCTCATCGACCCACTTGTGAGGGCTCGTCTCCGAGCAAGATCTGCTGCCCCTGTAGCGTGGGTCGTCTCGATCGCGATCTCCTACGTACTCCGAGCGTTGCTGCTGATCGGGCTGCACCTGCTGCTGCGGCAAATTGTCATCCATGCGTGCGATGTTGCCATGCTCGTAGTAGTGGGCGTCCTGCTCCACCATCAGGCCGCGCTGCGCCCAATAAATCCACTCTGCGCGAATCGCAATCTATTCTGGCTGTCGAGAACGAAGCGCCTCAACTCCTCAGTCGAATGCCGTGGAAGAGCCGCCCTCCGATCTGGCGGCGCAGACTGGAATGCCACGTCGCTAGATGGCGCGACTCTGCACGCGAGCCCTCGCTCACATCAAAAAGCCTGGAACCCACGCGGCCGCGACAGGATGCGCCGCCATCGCCACTTTCCAACGCAGTCGGAGGGGGGGGGGGGAGGGGGGCATGAAACCGGAGACGGCGCCCTCTGCGCGCCGGTCTGGCGTTTGGGTGGGGGCGGGGATGTGGGGGGAAGAGTTCGCGCATGAGTTTGCGCGTGAGTTCGTGTGAGCTTGCGCGTGAGTTCGCATGAGTTTGTATGATTTTGCGTATGGGTTCGCGTCTGAGTTCGCATAAGTTTCGCATGGGATCGCATGAGTTCGGGCATGAATTCGCATGAATTTGATTTGCGTCTCATGTGATTTACCCGTATTCGCAGGCATGCGTTCGCATGACTTTGCATGCTTGAGGCCTGGGCAGGGCGAGATCGACGAGTAAGGTGTCTTCGCTCTCATGCGGCTCCTGCTCGGTCGCATTGCAGGGGTCGCGGCCCCCGCTCGAATTGACCTGGCAAGCAGCGGCTCGCGCTCGGCAAGCAATATCATGTGTTCTTTGTTGGTTTCGGGGCCCCTCCTTCTCCCCCCCCCCCCCCCCCCCTCCCATGATGAGTTGAGATTGCATGCGCGCCCTCCCCTAGGGGCCTCGCGCCAAGCAAGCTTGGCGAAATGGCTGATACGAGCCGCGCAGAGGGAACAACGCCGAGAGACTGCGGGGCGCGTCGACGCCGATTGGAGGTCATTGTTCACTGCGTCGAGCATGTCCAGCTCCTCGAGCACCTTGTCCGCCGTGACGCAGTGCCACTTCTGAGCCTCCACGGCGTAGTCAGAAGCCAACTTCGGCCCGACTGCGACGCCGCCCTTCGCGCGCCGCACCGCGATCATCGCCGCAGCGAGCGCCCGGTTGAAGTCGCCAGCGGTGGTCTCGCCGAAGTGCGCCAGGACGCAAGTTCTCATCGTTGACCGTCGCGCTGTCTTTGTTGTTCGTCAGAGCGCCGCGATCTGGCAGCGCGGCTCGATGTCGACGCAGACCCTCATCAAGTTCGCGCCGTCCTCTGCCCCCGCGTGGCTCCATGACAACAAGCTGTCTTTCTTGATGCCAACGCTGGGGTGAAGCTCTCTCTCTCTCTCTCTCTCTCTCTCTCTCTCTCTCTCTCTCTCTCTCTCTCTCTCTCTCTCTCTCTCTCTCTCTCTCTCTCATCTCTCCCTCTCTCTCTCTCTCTCTCTCACTCTCTCTCTCTCTCTCTCTCTCTCTCTCTCTCTCTCTCTCTCTCTCTCTCTCTCTCTCTCTCTCTCTCTCTCTCTCTCCTCTCTCTCTCTCTCTCTCTCTCTCTCTCTCTCTCTCTCTCTCTCTCTCTCTCTCTCTCTCTCTCTCTCTCTCTCTCTCTCTCTCTCTCTCTCTCTCTCTCTCTTCCTCTCTCGGCGCCCCTGAAGCTAGGCGAGCGATGCTCCAGCTCCTGCAACGCCGCCGACAATTCCACGCGGCACTGGTTGTTCGCCGCGCCCGCTTTCTCGCCGAAAGTGCCGCCGTCTGTCTTCGCCACGTCCTGCGCGAACCGCGCGCGGCATTCTGGAGCGTGCACATGGATGCAGGCTTTGTTTTCGCCCACTGAGCGATTCGGACTTTCGCCCCATTCCGAGCGCGGGATCGTGTCGCGCGGCGGCGCGTGGGCGGCGGTTGCGGTTGCGCTGCCATGATTGCGTCGGGCCGTCTGCGCCGCCGAGTTCTAAGCTTCGGGCGCGAAGAATGGCCACGGACAGTCGCGGCTGCGTAAATTGCGAAGAGCAAGAGAGCATCGGCTGAAGAGCAAGACACGCCGTCGCTGAAGAGCATCGGCGCGTCGCCCGGGCGGACGTCTCTGACCGGCTGCGCGGTGCCCTGGCGGACCGCCTGCTTCAGCGCGTCGACTGCGCGATGCTGGTCGTTGCGCGCGGTGAACTGACGCGGCCCGATCGCGCCGTTACCGCGGGCGTCAAGCATCTGCTCCCTGTGATCCGCCGTGCGAAAGGCAACGCGCCGCGCTCCCAACGTCGAGGAGTAGCGGAGGATCATGGCGACACAGTCGCCCAAGTGGCACGCGGTCAGCTTTTTCCCGATGACGGTGGCGACCGCCATGCGCGCGCTTCCCATCGACTCGGTAAACGCCCCCGCCTCAGCGATCAGGTTCTCGAGCCACAAGCCCGCGGCGGGCGTCGCGGGCGCAGGTCTCGGGTTGAAGGAATTGGCCACCTCGGCGCCAAGGTCGTTCCGATCAGTGCTGCACGCAGACCGGCGCGCCAAGAAGTTGCGGAGAGACTCGCGCATGTCCCGCGCCAGATCCTCGGGGGCCATGGGCGGTGGGGCGCCGCTGACGCCGTCGAAAACGACAGCGTAGTGGTCGGAAGCGGCGGTCATGTCCGCGTTGGCGCAGCCTGTGCTCGCCTTCGCGGGGTGCTGGGTCTTGGCCGTGTAACCCATCAGGGCGGGCACGGCGAGGGCGCGAGTCTAGGTGGGCGGCGCGGGAGCGAAACAAGTAGTGCTGGACCCACGCGGAAAGCTGCGGACACGTTGCGCTCCTGACGAGGACGAAGCGTTGCGCTTCGACGAATTCAAAACACTGCGTTCCACCGAACAGGAAGCATTGCGCTTCTGACGACGAGGAAACATTGCGCTTCTGACAGAGAGGAAACATTGCGCTTCCGACGAGGAGGAACCATTGCGCTTCCGACAGAGAGGAAGCATTGCGCTTCCGACGAGGTGGAAACATTGCGTTTCCGACAAGCACGAAGCCTTGCGCTTCGAGGGGTCCAGAGCATCGCGTTCCGACGAGGAGGAAACATTGCGCTTCCGACAGAGGAGGAAACGTTGCGCTTCTGACAGAGAGGAAACATTGCGCTTCCGACGAGGAGGCACCATTGCGCTTCGATGAATCCAGAACACTGCGTCCCACCAAACATGAAGCCTTGCGCTTCGGACGAGGAGGAAACATTGCGCTTCCGACAAAGCGGAAACATTACGTTTCCGACACACAGGAAACATTGCGCCTGCGAGCTCCCGATAACCTGGCCAGGCGTTTGTTTCAGTATTTTTGTCTGGTCTGGAAGCTCAGGAAACCTGGCCAGGCGTTGTTCTTATTTGTGCGGTTCTTCTTATCAAAAACTTAGAACACCTGGCCAGGCGATGGCTGTTCTGTTTTTCTTTGACCTGGGAACTTAGAAGCCGTGACCAGGCGTTGTTTTTTTAATGCTCTTCCTGGTCCGGGAACCCACAAAACCTGGCCAGGCGTTAGTTTTTATGGTTTTTCTTGTCTGGGAGTTTGCAGAACCTGGCCAAGCTGTGGTTGTGTGTGGTTTTTCTGGTCTGACGACAGTAGTTCGCAAGCCACCAACCTCCAGGCTAGGTTCCGTGGGCTCCCGGACCATTTTTTTTTTTTTTTTTTTTTTTTTTTATATATAAAAAAAAAAAAAAACCAACGCCTGGCAAGGTTTTGTGGGCTCCCAGACCACAAAAACCAGAAACACCAACGCCTGGCCAGCTTTTCTGAGCCCACAAACAAAAAAAACACACAAAAAAACGCCTGGCCAGGTGTTCTTGGTTTCTTGGTTTCCTGGCCTCCTCCCATGGGCCCCAGGGGGAGGATATCGAAGGAGGGAGAGCGGGAAGGAGTGAGGAGCACAGAGGAACGCTCAAACAACAACGCACAACATAACATCATAAAACAAAAGAGTCCGCATCACGGATAACAAAGAAAACGACGCCACAGTCGTCTGGGCAAACGGAAAAGGCTGTGGGTAATGTTGTGTGCCGATATGTTTTGTTTTTGGTACGTTCAGTGCTGCTATGATGTAGTATGGTGTGTTGAAATGTAATGTGCCGTGATGCTGTGCTATGGTATGCTCTTTTCTGCCATGGCGCAATTTAGCCTGATATGAAAGGTTCTGTATGGTCTATTATGTCATAGCTTGTTGTGGTGTGCTATGTTATTTCCTGTTGTTTTATAATACGTTGTGCAGCGCTCTCTCATGTTCTGATTCGTCATACTATGCAATGCTCAATGCTCTGTGCAGTGATACTGTGCTATCTTATGTTTCGTTTCGTGTCTGTCGAAGGCGCGGGGCGGGACACTCGGGGGATACTTGGTGGACCTTGGGGTTCGGTGGCCGCGGTATGCAGACTGGGCGGGTCCGGAGGCTTGTTCTTGAAATCTAGCGCGAGGCGGGCAACTCGCGGGATACTCGGTGAACCTGGGACCTCGCGGCTGCGGTATGCAAACCAGGCTGGTCGGGAGGCCTGTTCCTAAAATCTGATAACCCCAACTGGCCTAGTGGGGACACACTCAAACTCTGACCCGCTCATACTGGCTCGGCGCCCACCCCTCAGTGATTAACTACGCATGATGGTCGTGGCCATGATCACGACAAGGATGATGATGATGATGACGACGATGATGTTGATGGCTTGTGCCACGACAGCGCCATCTAATGCACAGGGGCAGCGGCTACATGCACTGTCGTTGCCACTCCCGACGCTTGCTCATTTGTCGACCGTTTCCTTTGCCTGCAAGCCGCAAGTTTATAACACGGAGCTCAAACATTCAAAATTGAGTCTGTTATGAATGGAAGAGAAGGATCACCGTAAGTGTAGAGAGAAAACACGTCCGCAAGAGGGAGGGATGGAACGCAGCATCTCCCAGTCAAGCGGCAAACGATTCTTTCAATGGTTTCCAGGGGTGTCGAAGAAACTCGGTAAAGGCTGATGGAAGCTTTCGCCATACGATGTCCTGATGCATGCTGGCCAATACCACCAGTCACAGGCAGCGATGCAGCACCAACCGATGATATGCTAGATCCTCAACTTTCTGAATCGCAGAATGGTTGGCAAATCTGGCCTCACGTTTAGAGTCTGGCCCAGTATGGATGTTGCAAGAGATCCGTAAGACCCACCCTCAAAACAGCAAGATGAGTAGGCGTGCACTTCCTATCTTGCCAGGGGGGCGAGACCTTGCACCCATGATACGCCCTAAAGGGGCAGGCGCGCACTAAGACCCACATGGCTGTCATCTCTGCGATACGTTGTCACCTCTCCGGTCTCCTCATCGCGCGTGTAACGCATATTTTGGCTTGGCCATGTTGATACGCCGGCGCGCTGAATCACTGGAGTCGCGTGGCAAAAAAAACTACCGTGTGCGTAGAACACCGTACGCTGGATGGGATCACTGCACGGGTCGGCCTGCGCCTGGAAAGACTCAAAATATTCAGCTTTCAGATCCGGGTCATCCTGCTCGCCGAGGGCGCGATGTACCTTACGCAGTCCTGCCGCCTGCTCATCAGTATCCTCATTGTTCGTTTGGGTCCAAAGCAGTTCTGTCTCGTCCGCGAAGAACTCATAACACGAACTCTACTTCAGAGACTTCCTGGCCAACGCTCGCATGGACACTGGTCGGGCCGGTAGGAAAGTCCGCGACTGGGACACCCTCATTAATGCATCTTCGACATCGCAAAGCTGACCGCGCAGCGCTGAATACATGTTAATTGTCAGGGATGTGTGCGCTAGCGGCAGCGAGCACAAACTTGCTTACACGTCGGGCACCGAACTACAAAGCCTGCATGATACCCAATGACATGCTTCAGACCTTCGTCCGCAGAGAACTTCAGTTAGCTGCTTCTCTGGCCTGGCGCGCAAAACATTCTGAAACTTCTGGCGCGCATCCCATCCGGATTCCATGGTACTGCCTGCTTCAGGCGGGTCAGCGTTTCCAGAGCACGGTCTGGATAAAACTGGCGATGAAGAAGGCGGCCGAGGTGTTTTCGCAAAGTGACGTCTGGCTTCGGCGATGCAAGCATCAATAGCAGCAGCCCGTAACAAATCCCAAATGGCGATGCAACCAGCGAGCGAGTGCGCTTTGTGCCCAGCCTGCGATGCCTGCGGTTCATCTGACGAGGCTTGACGGGCACATGCTGGCGCCTTTCCCCGTTGTGCTGCTGAACTGATGCAGAAGTGCGATTAAAGAGAAGCTTGCGTGTTTCCGCTTGGTGGATGACAACATGTCCAGTGTTGAGGGCAAGCCGCGTCGTCCTGTTTCTCCCTCATATGTTCCTCCCAATCCACCTCCACCTTCTCCTCTATACTCCCCCTCCTCCCCTCCTACTCATCTCTTCATATCCTCCTCGGTATGTTATTTTGTTCATCCCCCGACCCCTTCAACTCTTCCTTCCTCGCTGCTCGTTTTTTTCGGCACGTCCACGTTGAGGTCGTGCCGTTCCACAACTGTTCTGCTTGTCACCAAACAACACCTCATCGAGTATCGTGTGTCGTGCCGATCGTTGTGTGTGGTGGGTGTGACGGCCTCTCTCCCATAGAGGACGCCTCCTCCTAGCATCGCGGAGCAGGCTAATTACGCACCGAAGGTACCCAACAACATGCCAAGGTCGCCTACGCTAAACCGACAGAGATGTCGTGCCCGCTTCGGCGGGGAAAAACAACTGGGGAAAAAATGGACGACGCGACCGACGGGAGAAAGACGAGGAGGGCAAAAAGGAAAAAAACACGGGGAACGCACCGCTCAGTGTCTTACCTGCACCGTGCATCCTGACACTTTCCCGGCGCACGCCTGAAGCTGACGAGTCAGCCACTCTGCACCTTTGCACCACCACCGTCTGCGCAGGCGTTATCCTTCGCTTTTTCTCCTCTGACAGCAACGCACATGCTCCTCGCACAGCAACGCACTGGGGGGGCTCCAAATTCACTTTTGATTGAAAGAACATCATGAATTCATCAATGTCGGCCTTTCTCCTCCTTTTCCTCCCTCTCCTCCTCGTCCGGTTCGCCTTCCCCCTCCTTGCGACCTCCCCCCCATCATCCTTCGCCTCCTTTGTGCTACTCCTCCACCTCTCTCCACCTCTTCCTGCTCCCCCTCCTCCCTCTCCTGCTCATCGTCCTCATCATCATCATCATCATCATCATCATCATCATCAGCATCATCATCATCATCATCATCATCATCAGCATCACCATCATCATCATCATCACCATC